TTCCTGATTTTATAACAGTAAACAATTGTATTTGGGAGAATGCAAAATGTCCTCTAAACCTTTTGCTGTCATCCATCCCTCAGAGGTGGTGGCAGGGCTAGATGATGCCTCCCTGCTTCAAGGATCTCGAGAAAGGAGAAGCAGAACTGTTCCACATGGTGTGCAATCCCCCAGTGTAGAGAACAGAAGAGCTGGTGAGTGAGCTGGACTGGTCTAATCAGATGTGGTACACTGAGAAGCTGGCCAAGCCTTTGCTATGTCCTCATCTGTAGTAATACAGGGCTGATGTTGTCCATTCACCATGTCAAGCATGGGGCCTGACACAAGAGAAAGGGACATACAAAGAAACCTTCACCATCATCCTTATTACCACTGTCATCCTCATATCTGGCCCTCTCCCACCTATCCCACCACCCATCTCCAGCTGTCCTTGGTTTTGTGGGGCCCCCCAAACTTCCTTAGGTCAGTGGAAAGAGGTTCTTTTAGCCACTCTGATTTAGGGTTAACTGCCTGTCCACTGCTCTCCCTCTTCCATTCTGGCTCCCATGTCCCTGTGCCCCAGATTTAAGCTGTCTTCACAATGGAGATTCCTCAGTTTTCTCTACTCTGATACAGGAAGATTCCAAGATCCTTTCCCCACACCCTCATCCCTGCATCCTACAGCACACAGACATCTGATCTGACCTTGGGCCTTGGCAACTGGCTGCTCCATTGACCTGTTTACTCAACATGGCCATAGACATGATCCAAAGCTTCCGGGGCTGTTGTGAAAACAGAGGCTCAGCCACCACAAGCCTGGCCTCCCGGTGCCTGGGCAGCAGCCTTCTAAGGACAGTTGTTTCAGCCTGTGTCTCAGGGCTCCCAAGCTTCCCCACTGAAAGCCTCCCAACCCAGGCTTTTTTTTTTTTTTTTTTTTTGCAATAGAAGAATGTCAGAAAAAAAAGATGGTTTTGATTTTTTATTCGGTGGGACTGGAGTTTGAACTCAGGGCTTCACACTTGCAAAGCAGGTACTTTACCACTTGAGCCACACTTCTCTAACCCAGTCTTTTGTGTCTTAGTTTCCTCCCTGACCCTCTTGCTGTCCAGGCTCATGGCCCTACCTGCCAGCACAACCTCATTATGTGAATGATTCTAGAAGTGGTCAAATCTGCCCACAGCAGCCTACTGATGTTCCTCTTCTAAGTCTCCTCATCTGCTAGGAGTACCTACGCTCAGGCAGTCATCAGGCCAGACACCTGGAGACATTTTTCTGCCTCCCTGCCTTTCCCACACAGCCCACTACAGAGTCTGCCTCTGCAGTGAGCCTCAAGACCTCTCCTCCTTCCACCTCCTAGCCATACCACTGTCCTTATGCTTGGCACCTCCCCGACCACTGCTCTCCCTCCCTCCTCCATTCTGGTTCCCAGGAATCCCAGTGCCCCAGATTTAAGATTTTTAAGACAGTAAAGTAAACCTCATCATCCCTGCCTAAGCCCCCAGTGTTTCCCATTGCTTGTGGGAAAAGCCCCCCAACCTGCTGCCCTGACCTCAGCAGCAGCCCTCCCCTCACTCCTGTGCCCCAGCCACAAGGACCCCTTTCAGTTCCCTGAAGAGCCGAGTTCCTTCCTGTTGAGGAGCCTCTGAACTTGTTGTTTCTTCCTGTCCAACTCCTCACAGTGGCTCCTTCCCATCATTCAGGTCTCATAGATACTACCTGACCTGCCTATTTTATAGATGAGGTAACAAAAGCTCAGAGCAGCCCAGTCTTTGCCTCAAGGGTACACACTAGGAAAAATTAAACCCAGGTCTATCTGACACCTGCAGAGATCCTGCCCCTAAATCCTCAGGATGCCCTTACTTGCACTCGTAACCCAGGACACCACTGAGCTCCAGCCCTCCAACCTCCTGGGCTCTGCCTGCTATACCATCACCATTACCACCCTTCAACACCAGAGACTGCTGGCTCCTTGGTCCCAAATAACAAAGGCCAAAGTTCAGCCCAATCCTCACTGGGCTGACCTGCATATTCCCAGGATAGACAGGCCCCTGCCATATGTCAAGGATGCAGAATGGATGTGTGTACAGGGTGATTTCCAGCTTCCACACTTTTCCAGCCCCCATCAGTCCCAGATACCTGCCCCCCTTCCCCAGTCCAAAGGCAGTCTCCAAGAGTCCAAAGGGTAGGCAGGCTGGCAGGAGGGCTCGCCATCCACCCCCTCATTCCCAATCAATTCTCCAAGCCCAAAGTCCTACAGGGGGCCAGAGCAGGGAGGGACCAAAAGGAGTGCTGAGGGAGCTAGAGGCAGCTGTGACTTCCTTTCCCTTCCCTGTATCCATTTGTCATGAGATCAATTTTCCTCCGTTTGAAAGGGAGTGAGGGGGAGACAAGCAGAAGGGGGCTGGGCTGCTCAGTGGGCAGCTGCTCCCCCTCGAAGGATATGGAACCTATGAATCAGTGGAGCCCTCCTCATCCCTGGCATTGCCTCTGGAGGCAGAAATAAGCGGGATATGGAGGAGCTGGAGACCTGGCTTCTCAGCTGGGCTCCACAACCACTTGGCTGTGCAATACTGGGCCAGTTTCCAGCTGATCAGACAATAATGATGCATTAGCATTATCACTTACTGGTTATTGAACAGTTACTATGACCAGATACTAAGTGCTTTACATTACATGACTGCAGCTTCTACTTATTAAACGCTGACAGTGTGCCAAACATGTTGCTAACTACTTTGCATACATTATCTGTTGTCTCCCAAATAACCTCATAAAGGTGGGGAATGATCTTATTTGTCAGGTGGGGCAATTGATGCACTTGAGAGTCAAAGCCTAGCCTCATTCATAGAGCTGATTGGCACTACTTAATTGCTTAAATGCAGCCAGGCCACCGTCACCCTCAAGAGGCTGTGCCTATCGGAGCTGATGCTCAGAGCTAAAGAGAAGCAAGGGTTGTAGGGCTGCCAGGAACTTCATGGCCTCAGCCCCTATTTTTCTCCTAGAGCCCCTGACGAGCCTGGACAGTGTTGGCATGGAAAGCCTGGTCAGTCGGCCTAACTAACCCACAGGCCAGACACTGCTCCCTTTGGGAGGAAGGGCTGGGGCGGGGCAAGCCACAGGCGGAGGCTGGTCAGTCCCACTCTGAAACCACTTCCTGGGCAGCCCAGAGGAAGTGAGCCTTCAGAAATGCCTTGGACAGATGGGCCTATCCCCTGGGTCCAGGCCTTGGAAAGTGGACCCCAGGAGAAAAATATTCTGCTTCCTAGGCCTCAGAGCCCTGCAACTCCACTCTCTCCAGGCACTGATACCATGGGGGACAAAGGAGCTGAAAGACCCCACACACACACACTGCCCGTGAGCACCTTGGCCCCAATACCAAACAGCCCATTCACTTCCTCCTCTGTGGCAGCAGCCACAAACGGCCTGGAGCAGCTGACACGTCCCCTCCCCCACACCCATGCCCCTGATCTCCAAAGCCCAACTCTGCTCAGCTCTGGGTCCTGGGGCCGGTGGACAGGGTAGTTGTTGGATGCCTGGTCAGAGCCCATTTCTCAGTGTGGCTCACTCCTTTTGAGCCCCTGTGATCACAGCTGCACCTGGAGCCTCAGCATCTGGTGCCAGACTCAGACTGCCTGGCTGGGCTGTGACACCCAACCAGGGCCTCCCATCCTGGCCCAGCATAAGCACAGTGTGATGTGTGTGGACAGTCATCTGAGTGCATGGTGATCACGGCAAGTATCTGTGTGTGTGTGTGTCTAAGTATACCCATGAGGGGCACATGAAAACACCTGTGGGCTATGTGCCCACATGTGTGGTGCGTGTGCAGGCACTATGCATGTGAACATGTCTCTGCCAGTCAGGCAGGTGATGTTTGAGAGTTTAATGGAGCCGACTCCAAAGCTAATTGAACTCCTTACTGAATGAGGTTAAGTGATGGGAGGGGCTGGCTCCCTGACCACAGGCAGCTGAGGCCCCAAGCCAAGGGCACTTCACCTTCTCCCCACCAGGTGTCAGGACAGGATGAATAAATGGAAGACCGAGGGATAAACCTGTCCTTATTCTGCCCCCACAAGCATGACGGCCTGGACTTCCTCCCTCTCCCTACCCAAAGTCAGGCCCAGGGAGCCCAGCCTCCTTGGGTTTGCTCACAGACACAGCAAATGCCTACAGTGCCTAACAACTAATCAGGGAAAACTCCTGGAGGGAGACCATCCTTGCCATCCCCTACCCCCAACTCTTCTCACTAGGGTTCTAAACACTCAATGAGTCACTCACAAAGCTGTTTTCTCTCTCTTCTTCCTTCCTTCCTTTTTCTTTTTCTTCTTGTTTTATTTTTATGCTAGGGATTGAATCAGGGCCTGGCACATACTAAACAAATGCTCTACCACAAATCTATGCTTCCAGGCCACAGGACTGTTTTCCTTGCAATGGGGACTGAAGGAAGCAAGGCTGGCTGGAAAGTGGCAGGAAGGTGGTTGTACTTTCATGAGGGGCTTCAGAGACTGTAGCCTTCCCCAGCATTCCTTGGAGACAGTGACCAGCCCACCCCAGTCTGGAGGCTGGGGAGATACAGGGGGACTGGAGTATGGAAGAGTGCTGCATTTTATTCCCAGTCCAGTGTCCAACCCTTTGTGGGGCCCAGGTGAACCTCAGGTTCCTTGTGTGATTGAGGACAGTTTGAGGCAGATACAACGGGCCATGGAAAAACTGACACATCCACCCAGAACTCTTGGCTCACATGCCACTTTCTAACTGACCAAAAAAGTGTCATCACTCTTTCCCAACACTAATGGTGGGCCCCAGTTCCCTGAGCCAAGGCCAAAGCCTTCCCTGGGCCACAAGCAGGGATCCCCTTTTAAGCAGGGAAAATGGCCACCTCTCTCCCGGGCACCCAGCCCACACCCAGATCAAGGACTCTGCATGCTTCCCCTTACCCCAGTCAGTCCCATTGTGGAAGTAGAAGAATCCAAAGAGAAAGGCCACCTTGGCACACTGTTAATCTGCCTAAGAGGACCCAGTCCTACCTGGGGCTCCTAGCTCCTGTTTGTCCTTGGTCCTGGTTCCTGCTGCTGTGGCTGCCACTCACCAACCACCAGGAGAAGTAGGCCCCCAGCCCTTGTCTGGGCCAATTCCCAGGTAAACCTGCAGGGCCAGGAGAAAAAACAGCTGATCCAGGAGGCACAAACAGGCTCTCCCCATCAGTCAGCCTCAGCATGGCTGCCGACACAGATTCAGCTCAGCCTCACCTGGCTCTTGGACCTTGGGCCTCTCTATACTTGGCTTTCTCTTCTGTGAATGGGTGTCAGGCCCAAATTTTCTTGGGCTCTGGCTATGTGTTAGCTCCATGTTAGGGGCTGGAACACTGTGTCCCTGCCCTTGGAACATTTCCAGCCTGGTGAGGAGACCAGCAGACATAGAAAAAGTTGTTCTTGACCCTCCTGTCTGCGTGAGGCTGCCCTGCTGGTTTTGAAGTCCCAGAGGGCAATCAGGCACCACCATTTTATGACCTTAGGCAATTCCTCTGAGCCTATTTTTTTTACATGGGGGAAAAGACTACCTCCCCTCTCTCCAGGTAGTTCTGAGGCTCCAAGATATATCCTGCCATTTCCTGTGCTAAACTCACATTGAAACTAACAAATGAGTAGTGATGCTTTTTTATTCCTTGTTTTGTATTTTACAGTTCAGGTGGTCCTCATATTGCTATTGCACCCATTATACAAATGAGAAAACAGGCCTGGGAGGAATGGCAGAGACAGCAAGATACTCTGGGTCTCCCTGCTAAAAGCCCTGGGCAATTTCTCCACAGGGCCAGGCCAGGTCTCTACAAAAGATCACACCTCTAGGTGTGAGCCCCTCCCCCAGTTGGAGACCCTCATCACCACTCCCTGGGGGCAAACATCCTCAGGCTTCATCTTTTTGTCAGTACTTTAAATTATTTCTAATTCTAATTTAAACTTCAATTAGCTGTCCCAGCTAAATGGTGTCAGTGCCTTGCAGTCACAGCTCTGGATTACCCCCCCACACACATCCCTCTCTTCCCATCACTGCTACATAGTCTGGGGGCTGAGGGGTTGGAAGGTTGTGATTCTGCCGAACAGGGCTGGGTCCTGAGGCTCGGCGAACACATTCTCCCTCCCATAAGCAGCTGGTCAAGGGCATGGACAGGCAACAATACATTGTGGGCAGGAAATGAGGCTGATAACTATCTCGGCTTTCATTAGCTCCAGCTCCCCGGAGAATGGGGATGCACAGTTGGAGGGGAGTAACCAAATAAGAGTTTGAACGTGCTACACTCTCGCTGTAGGTCAAGGCAATGTAAAGGACCTTTGACACAGGACCTCTAGTTCTCACAACTTTCTCCCATCTGCAGACAAGGAAACACCTCAGAGAGGCGTTGGGTCACTTGCTCTTAAAAAGCTCAGCAAGTACTTGAGTCCATGTCTTCCTTGGTCCAGAGCCTGATGTCTTGGTCACAACATTACAAACCCCAGGACTTGCCTCCAGCTTTCTCCATCTCCCCAGGAACTAGGTAGGGCTGGGCGTGTCCATGCAGAGTGCACACCCACAACCTCACGTTCTCCCTCAAACTCACATACACTGGGGCTCTCACCTTTCCTCCTGCACTGCCACCACACACCTTGTCATACCCTCTCTTGCCACTGACACCCACACCCAGCCACTCTCAGTTCCCCACAATCACAGTCACTCACCAAGCATTAACTTGCAGTTTCATACAGTCAGACTGTGAGTCTCCTATCAGTCATGTGCTCCCACCTGTGTCACCTCCTGTGTCACCTTCAGTACAGTCCTGTCACACACCAGAGCCCTCACAGACACCTCCACACACATCTCTCTCTCTTTTCTCTTTCTCCCCCTCTCTCTCTCTCTCTCTCTCTCTCTCTCTCTCTCACACACACACACACACACACACACACACACACACACACAGCTGCCCTCTGCTGGTCTACCACACCCCAGCCTAGTCCACAGCAGGAACGAGGAAACCTAAGGGACCAGTCCCCTCCCTTTGGACCAGGTCAGCCTTGTCTCAGCAGCTTAGAGGCAGAGAGAGAAAGAGACAAAAGTGAACAAACATACACATGCACACTTATACACGAACATAGTGGGCTGGCACCCCAACACCGGGGCTCCCACAACGAACAGATCTAATGTCCTCATGGCCAGCTGGTCACCATGATACACCCAATGTGCAACACATGACCTTCCAGATACACAGGAATATAACATGGTCAGGCAACACACAAATACCCCAACATATAGAGAGGAGTCTGGTGACAAAAAAAAAAAAAAACACATGACATGGTATATACAGTTGCAAAGGATGCACACAAAGCCTCAGGACACCCAATCAGACACATGCACACAGGTGAACCGCACATGTGAAAAAGGATACACACTCACTGGGAAAGTCCCACAGTGAAAAGAACACATAAGGAGGCACAGGCACACAACATACCTATATGCCTAGACACAGACAACACAACGCAAGGAGTCATGGTCCATGCATACAGGGTAGGTGCCTCCTGACCAGGTTTAAGTGGGGTGCCTAGTGGGGGTTCTCCTCTTCCCCACAGTGAGGGAGTTGGGGCAGTGAGGCAGTTGTGATGGTGCTCATCTCCTCCCTCTCCACCAGCAGCCAGCAGGGCACCCCCATCTCTGCATCCTCTCAACTTGCTGTCCCCTCACCCGGAGGGTGGATCTGGGGGGACAGAGACGTAAGCACTCTAGGGAGAGGGGACTCAGAGGGGCGGGGCGGAAAGGGGGATGGTGGCGTCTGGAGCCACGCCCAGCCCAGAGACAGATGGAGAGACTCAGAAAGACAAGAAGACTGAAAGAAGAGACAGAGCGAGGAGGAGGCGCTGCGGGTCTGCCCGGCTGGGACCCAGGGGCGGGAAGCAAGAGCAGTGGGCGGCCTGGCCTCCGTCCCGTGGTAGAAAGGACATCAGCTGGACTGTCAGGGGGCGACCAGAGTGGGCCAGGGGCTAGGCTACCAGAAGATAGGATCGAGGGGGCGGCGGGGCGAGTGGTGGGGGGTGGGGCGATGGAGCACGCGGAGGGCAAGGGGCAGACAGACCGCGTCTGGAAAGAGGCTGACCCAGGAACACAGAGTGGGTGGAGGGCAGTGAGCGGATAGAAGGCCCCAGAGAGATTGGGGAGGAGGAGGAGGAACGGGACGACGGACAAACCTTCCGTAGGACTGGGACACACAGCGGGGTAGAGGGGCCGGGAGCAGTCGGTCGAGAGGGCCTTCACCCCGACCGTCCAACAGAAGGACTGACGGATCGGGAGGACAGAGGCACTAATGAGTCTCGGCGTGCGCCGGGACTTTTGCTGGCCAAGCTCAGTTTCTCAATTTCGGAAACGGGAACCGGAGCGGGAGGGGGGGGAGGGAGGAGCGCTGCGCCCTCGAGGTAGCTCGACCCTGGGCCCAGCTCTTACTCACCTCCGGACGTAGGGCCAGGGGTCCCGGCCGGCCGGGGTCTAGCTCCTGGCGCGACTCCCCGGCGCGCGCGCGAGGACGGGGGTCCGTGCCAGCCTGACTAGGACGAGCCCAGCGCGGGTGAGAACGGCCAGGCTCTCAGCACTGCGAGTAGATTCCAGGGGTCGCTTGGGGTATCCCAGCGGCCGCCGCCTCCTGCTCCGGCGCCACTGTACACGGAAGTGCAAGGGGGCGGGGCGGTACGACCTCACCCAGGTGCCGGCCCGGCCCCACCCCCGCTAAGGACCCGCCCCAGAAGCCACGCCCCTCCAAGGCCACGCCTCCACCATCTGGTTGCTGGGGGAAGGGGGGCATCCAGCGTGTTTCTGCCTCTTACAGTGCCGGGCACTCAGTCTCCGGACCTCTCTGCCTTCCCTGGCAGTCTTTGCCCCTCCGTCCGCCAATGGCGGGCAAACAAGCCCTTAGAAGGAACCCCATTTTGTGGAGGAGGACTCTGAGGTGGGGGTGCGGTGGGCGGGGGGAGGCACCCACACTCTGGAGCCCAAGAGACGCCAGCGGGGGTTCCCCGGCTCCCCACGCCCACGCCTGGGATTCCCCAGTGGCCAGTTGGCCAGCCTCGCCTGGCCTCACTCCTTCTCTTCCTGTCGGCTGGAGCGCGGACGGGACCGGGCTCAGTGCCCGCCGCCAGGCCTGCCCCAAAGACGCAGCTGGGGAGGCTCTAGTTGGTCTGCCGCTGCACTGCTTGTCAAGCAGTTCTGGAAGCTGCTCTGTGCCACCTCCCAGTCTTCCGCTCTCCTGCCCCTACCTTCCAGAGTTCCCACCGCCCCAGGGCAGGCGCCTGAACTTCCTTTCCAGACGTAGAACTTGGTTGTCAGCCATAACTCATTCATTCATTCGTTCATCGGGCCCGAAGCCTGAGCACCAGTTGGGATTCACTGAGTCTATTCCTCTGCCCCCAAAGCTCAAAGCCAGGCTGTTACCTCATAATTACCCAAAGAAATATCCACTTCCCAGGAGACAAAAAGAGGGTTCTAGTTTTCTAAACTCGTGGGAGATCATATAAAGGAGATGAGGGTCTAGCATGCCCTTTCCCAGCTGAAGCCCAAGGGATGGGAATTGGGGACAATCTTCGAGGAGACTGAGCAAGGGGACTCTAGCCAGAGCTTTGGTTTTCTCAAACAGCAGGGGGAACGTGGGGGAGGCTGTTATAACCTGGCAGGTAACAGATTCTAGGGAGTTCCTGTGGGGAAGGATGAGGTAGAGGGAGGAGCAGAGGGGAGAAGAGTCTAGGAGAGACAGGATGAGGGGTAGAGAGGCCGCCACATGGCTGAGGTTGGGGAAGATGGATGGGGAAAAGAGGCCAAACCAGCTGGGTTATAAACTGTGGGAGTTGTACGTGGAAAGTTACCCTATGAGACCTCCTGGGGGAGAGATGTGGGTCCCCAAATCCCCTGTATGTAGGGGATCTGGGCTAGAGAGAGAAAGCCACAATGACTCTTCCCACTGTAGAGAGACGGAGGACCCTGGTACCCCACAGGAGAGAGGACCCAGTTTGAAAATAAGTGCCTAGGTTCCCAGTTCTGAACTATTCTCCACCCCACGGGGGGCGGGGGGAGGGGGAGGGAATCTCTTCCCACCAAGCTGGACTCCTCTGGCCACACTGGACTCCTTTGCAAAGACAGCTTACTCCTTATAGTGAAACCTTTGAACATGCTATTTCCTGGGTCATATTCTACCCACCCCCATATCTCAACTTACCTTGGTTGTATCCACTCAAATTCCACTCATCCCTGATGCCCAATTGTAATCCATGGCATTTCTCTCCGTGAAAGAACCATATTTATTAACTTGCCTGGGGTTGAGCTGAGGCAATAGATATGCAAGGTGAGCCTCAGCTGACCTTTGCCCACCTAGGATAAGGTTTCCTTTCTGCATCCTCCTCCAGGTCCACAGTAGTCAACTCAGCCTCTCCCTCAACATCAACAATAGGCCTGCCCTGTGCCAGGGACCACAGAGAGAGGCTAGCCACTGGGGAGCTCCAAGTCCAGTCACCAGATCTTTTTCCCACATGCTGCCTTCTGCCTTGAAAAAAGGAAATGAAGAATGGCTGTCAGTAATGGGTGCTACCAAAATCAGGCTGTGTCCTAGGTGCTGGA